AAATCTGGGGAACCTTTCTCCCCGATGGATTCGTACATTCGTACGTATTTATGAGACGCGGTGCATAAAGGATGTCCATTCGGGTGGCTACACTGTTAAAAATGTGGTGAAATTAAATATACACTCCGTACTGGTATAGATCTGGGAATAACTTTATCCCCCGATTGGTAATAGTTTGTTTCCTAGTGGAAAATTTTCATTACCAGAACGGTATACTTCTTTACTATACGGTAATACCCGTTACTACACTCAATAATTTTATGCTACATTTGTTACCGGCGGAGGTACTATGCTCATCTACCTCGTGGTACCACTATAGTAACAGGTTGTCTTCTCAGGGTAAGAAATTGCCTCCAGTGTCTGTAATATTTTTATTACCAGAGCGTTAACATTGGGAGCTGAGCAGGATTTAGCCTCTGTATATATGTTACCCTTCGGTGATAAAATATTCCCGAGTTGCATAGTACCCCCGCCGGTAACAAGCTTATTACGAAATTATTGAAGTCATACATCATCCACTCCGGTCATGATTCAACACAATTTTGCTAATTATAAGAGCGTACTTTTCCCCTTAAAGAGAAAGCCGCCATCCATCCCGCACGATCCGCACGTTGCTTTCACCTCAATCAAGATGCTCACTCTTCACCTCACTCACTTGTTTTTCGAGGGAGTGAGTGCGATCCAATAAAAAAATGTGTGCCCTTGTCTTGTTCTTCTTCTTCTCTGCCCCCACTCCATCATCATCCCGCTTGTCAAACAAAATAACCATTTTTCTCTCCCACTCCGCAGGCAGAGAGAAGAAGAAGAACACATTCATCAAATGCAAATTTCTACTTTTCTTGCTCTTTCTTTTTATTTCTTGATATGATATGAGAAAGAAATTGAGAGGCGAGTCTGCTTCTTCGGATTGAAATGGGCGGGAAGAATGAGACACGGTTTGACCTATGGGGTGACCTTTAAAACGGACAAGTAACCTAAATGAGTGACCTGATTTATGTTTCTTGAAACCAGTGTTTCGTTTATGACGGGTTTGCTACATTTATTTCATTGCGAAGGAAGCCACGCGAGAAATGCGAGGTGCAAGAAATAGCGCCTTTTCGCCACGCGCCGTGTGAAATATAGCGGCGGGAAGGAGTTTCTTGCGCCTTGCATTTCTTGCAGGTCAAAATAGCTGCAAAATACCACTTTTTTGACGTTATTTCTTGCACGTGGTTACTTTTGCACCCGAAACACTGGAGATTTTGGTAACATTGTAGCGTTATCTTGACATGTAGCATCATCACGTCATTTGCATGATTTGACCTCTGTACCGTCGTGATGATCTCGTGGTCCTTAGTTCCTTATAGCTACTTTTGGATACACTATTTTATAAGGTTTACGATGTGTGACGGGTAGAAATGCGTGGGAATTTTGGATAGTCTAATCTTTGATAATAATTTGATATGTATTTGTATCGCTTACATGGCCTGAGTTGACCTCTGCAATATTTTGTAAAAGATAACCTTCCAACGAGTGTCGTGATGATAAGATAAGGAGGCGGATGAAATGAAATGAAGAGGAAATCGATAATTTTTAGGTGCATTTATCTAGATTTTTTTTAGTGGGGAGGACGAGATAAGGAGGAGGAGGAAATCCAGAAGGGAGATCATATTTCTTGACTTGGGGATATAAATGATCTCTCTCGGAGCTACATTTTTCATCCTCTCGCTCGTGTCACAGGTTGGATGAGGGGGCAAATGTGGGATGGGATGGGATGATCTCGTTCCCGGTGAAAAAGTTGGAATTTTTTTGGAAATGGAAATTCGAAAAGATAACGTTTCACTATGAAAAAAAATCAGTACATTTTGAGAAATTTTGAGAATTTCCAAAATTTTTGAGTAGCATCGTAAGCTTGTACATTTTGAAGGGGTGTGACTCCATATATTTAGTTGGAGGAGGTTCCTATGCGTAAATGACGAGGAGATCACGATAATGTACCCCGATAAAAATTTGAACCGCTTTCTTACAGAAATTTAGACTGATTTTGTGCAGAAATTTGGGCTAATTTTATACAGAAAATTACTGCACAGTGATTTCTACTGGTGTCAGGTCTTATCGACCTGGCCTTGACCTTAAAGAGAGAGACGACATGCCTACTGCACAGCCCTCTTTGTCATTGTCTCTGCTGCATCCTGTCTCGAGTGACACTTTTATGTCCGTTCGATTCATGCAGATTAGATGTCAATGTATATGCAACTTATTGAATGGGGAATGAGAGTGGCGTTTGATAAAGTGTGTGACAGGGACAGGGTTTGGAAAACCATGTTACGTTAGTTAAAATCATAGGACAATGTGCTATGTGGGATTAATGTGGGAGGGAAAATGTAAGAACTTTGTTTAATATGCGTTTTTTTTAGATTAGCTTGATGTTGGGATTGAGCATAAAATTCTGATCATTTTCATACGCGGTTAGACCCGTTATTTTGACGAAGTTTCATTTTTAAGACACGAATTAAAGGGAAAATGACTTTGTCCTAATCCGCTAAAGTCGGATAGAAAAATGGTCAGAATTTCGGGCTGAATCCTAATTTCTAGCTGCTTTTGTGCTAGAATGTAGTTTTTTCACTTTCCCCCACTACATAATATCACAGAAATTATACATATGTAAATCCCAAACAGCGTTACTTTCTTGCGGGTTTGCTACATTACTTGCAATGCCAGACATGCAAAAAATTGCAACAAAGTGCAAGAAATATGCCACGCGCTGTATGAAGTATCGATGCGGGGCGTAGTTTCTTGCGCCGTGCAGGTCAAAATAGCTGCAAGAAACCACTTTCTTACCGTTATTTCTTGGTTCAAGTGGTTCCTTTCACCCGAAACACTAATCGCACAGTGTGCTTATCATCATTCTGGAAACCCTGCCATTACCCATACGTCAATCATTCCCTGGAAATAATAAAGACGACGAAACCTTTATATCGAGGAGGAGGAGGACGCTGCAATGAAATTATATGTCTTGTAGGACACTCTTCCTCTTTTACAGGACATAACTTATTTTACGTTCCCCAATAAAAGAGTAAACTCGACTTAATAGTCGTGTCGTGTCCTGGATGAAGGCCTCTTATGCAATATGTGGACAAAAGAAGTGACACATTTTTTTCTGAACAGAAAATGTTGCAAAATTGCGAAAGAAATTTCTGTTAGGAAGAAATATGCAATGTAATAACCCGACTAAAAATTTGAATCGTGGGTTTTCCTGCAGCACTTTGGCCCAATTTTCTCCAGAAAAACTTTATCCAGAGCGATGTGTGCAGATAATTATGCACACTGTTCTGCATAATAAAAACCCGTAGAAATATTCTGCAAGATTATGCAAAAAATATGCAGAATTCAATATGCATCTAGCTTTTGTCGAGTACTGTACAATTCGACACTGTAACTTACTCGATTTTTTTAATTTTTGACGTGAATGTTCCAATTAACTGTTTTGCATATTAAGAAATGCATGTAATTAAACAAGCTTCAAAAAAGTGTTAAATTCGCAATTGTTTTTTTTATGCTGAGAAATAGCTTGGCGAAATTACGACTTTCTGGCTGGATAATATCGAGTTGAAATTCGATCCTTATGTTTACTTACGCGAGAGGATGATTGAATTTCCATTGTTCTTCCTTCTGCAGATTAAATTTCATAGGATGACATGCATAACGATATTTTATTATTGTTTTTACGTAAAAGAGGGGACGTCCACATTTCGTGGGGAATTATTGTCCACGGCCCTCGCCGTAACATTCCGCGACGAGGATGACACGACACAATGACATTCATTTCATGTCACGACGATGAGAAGAATGAAATGGAAATTCTCACCATCATCCTGGCTCCTAAATTGTTACGTATGTAGTGATGATGAGATGAGGGGGCTGTGCAGGAGAAATTGGACGTATTCTTAGTCATTTTAGGGAGTGGATTAAGAAAAATGGGTGAAATATTTAGTATTTACAAAAAAAATACCAAAATATTTCCGAAAAAAGCAATAAAATAAGAATTTTCACAAAATTTACATACATTTTTTTGCATGTAATGCTCTGGATTTATTGTGGTCGAGGATATTTCTTGGAGGAAAAACATTTCGTCTCACATCGTATGAAATGTTTACAAATATGTACGTATTTTTGAAAAATGTGTAAAAGAATATTGAAATAATAACGGAAATATTTATATGTTTGAAAACCTATAAATAAAAATATTTTGAAATTTTTGTGATTTATAAAAAAGTTAAGGAACACACGGATAAAGTTTGACCGTCGGTCATCATTAAATGAAAAAGTTGAAGATAAGGTCATATTACATATTTTTCCTAATTTACTGCTTTAAGGATGGGTCTTATCATACAGAAAAAAAGGAAATTGACGTACTTTATCACGGTCCCTTTTCAACTGGGTGAAGAAATTTAATCTCCAGCAGCAGCAGGAATTTAATAATCGTCATCATGATCATTTCATCCTCGTTGTTAGTGTTTCGAGTCGTCGTAACTTACGACGAGGACGTGCAAGCAAAATGCATGTGCAACTAGACACTCTGATAAAGGGGTGAGAAAATTAATGGTATCCTTTCCGCAGGGCTCCTTCCTCACACATATATTTGAATTATTTGCATCCAAAGTTCGACACAAGTCGTATCAAAATCAGGCATCAAGTTCATGATGTAATCAACATGAAACCCATTCGAACTAGAATTTCATGGAATTTCAAGTTAATAGAAAAACAAGGGATTTTTTTCCTAATTTGAGAATACTTTATTTACATAATCAGCCACCAAGTTCATGAATTCCTTATCGAACAAGAATTTCATGGAGTTTCAAGTTAAACTCATTCATTTCATGAACTTGATGCCTCATTTAAATTAAATTATGTACTTGTTTACATAATTTGGCTGGAATTGATAAGTTTTAAGGGTGAGAATTGATGCGATGAGGTTCGCCGTCTCATTTTTCAGGGAAGGGACAGGCCCTTCGAGCGGGGAGGACTTGAACGTGTGACCCCTTCCCAGTAAACTCAGGAAGTAGAAAAACAATCATTATTAAATAAATAATATCATTGTTACTAAAATAATTAAGTAGCCTTCATTTCATTTATCATTCGTGCTTATTAACTGGAGGGAAAAAATTGTAGACGAAAATAATAATAATAAACAAACACGGAAAGTCCAACTAAACTAAAAAATAATAGAATTATTATGCAACATCATCATTTCAAGATTTTCCTTGACTCGTTAGCTAACTATCCTCACTTGTGTGTGGAGTGGACGTTGACGACGAGGTTTCATAATATTTAATTTGGTTAGTTAGTTAATAACGTGGCTCCGTTGGCGAGAGATGTGAAATGTGAAGGTCCACTTTTTTCTTCAAGTGTGAGCCAAGTTTTTCGTCAGCCCAAAAAAACATGTGATTTTTATTTATTTATTTATTTAAATATATCTCGTGAAAAAAATCGGATATTTATGATAATCAATTAATAATTAATTAAATTAGTGAGTGGAATCCTACGGCAATTTAAGAAAGGAAATAATACAAGATTCCGTTCTTACTTCTTGTCCTGTCTTGGAGTGAATTAGAAGGGAAGAAAAAATCGCCTTGTTCTTGTTCTTTTGTTCTTTTTTTTCGGTGTGATTAAAGATTTAAAAGTTGAAAGGAATCGAGAAGGAAGAAAGTGATTTTCGTGCCGAGTAGTCATCATCAAAAGAAGGAAGGTTTTTTTATTTTTTCAAATTAGTACGAGAACGGAAATGGGGAGCGATTTGGTCGTGGCGGATAGCAGCCCCCCCGTCGAGAAGAACGGGTAAGAAAAGGAAACCTCTGCTGCTTTATTTAATTTAGTAGATGTACCTATCGATCGGATGGATTGGGTGGTGGTGGGATGATGATAAGCCTAAACTGTGGATTTTTTATGTCTAGTCTCTTTTTTTGGCAAGATGTTAACCTTGAGAGGTTAAAAGGGGGTCATTTGTTCTTACAGAATTGCTTATTAATTCGTCGACATGCGTAAAAAATGACACTCCGCCGCCGATTATAATACAAACGAGCACTTTGGTAGTGCCGTTTGAGGGGTAAAGTTAAGCAAATGAGTCGTTACGGTCCAGTCCAGACTGGATTTTCGTACTGTCATGAACATTGACTGGAATGTGGGAAGGAGGACGAGAATAGGACAATGTGTAATATACATTGTGTATGTATGAAATCTTGGAAAATGGGTGTTTTAAGAGATTCTTTACTAGTAATTAGAGGCATCGAGAGGAAATTAATGTGTTTGTTTTTGTTAGATAAATGTAAAAATATGCAAATATCGTAGATTTGGGTAATTAATTATGCAGGGAAATCGTATCATTTCAAGGTAAATAGAATCCCACCTAGTAGTAGTTTTATGTACAAGATTTCCAAATATTAGACAATTTCACCGTAATTTCTCAACCAGGATTAAATATGCATCTCGGAAATTTTGTGAGATTCACAGTTTTTTATGATAAATTTTGCAAAACTACTTACTTCCGGTTTTTGTTCTTCACATAATATCAAAACCCTGGTTAATTTTGCACAACTGTTTACTCGAAATTTTTCACGAGCGTGAAAACGTGCTCTAAAATTGCTTGACTTGAATACGCCGAAACGTGCGAAAATTAGACCATAATTTTCCAGCCAGACTTAAATATGTATACATATTGAAAATGTCAGACATTTTGTGAGATGTGTGTTTTTTATATTTCGCAAAACCACTTAAATACTTCCGGGTTCCATTCTCATATTTTTCGAAGCCCTATTAAATTTTACACAACTGTTTCCCCAAAATTTTTGAAAACACGTGCTTTCCATGCTCTAAAACTAGTTGACTTGAATACGCCGAAAATTACGAAAATATTTGCTCAAATTTTTACCAACGATGTTTTCATTATTTTCTACTTCTCATCAGTTATCACGGAGGTGGGGGGAAGAAAATGTTGGGTGTGGAATTCGCCCCGTTGTCGATTCCAATGGCTCGCCGACTGCAAACTTTCGCCGTGGCGTCGTGGATTCTAACCTTTTTCATCATGGGGCCAGGCTCACTGTTTCTCCTGATGTATCTCCTCCTCCACCCGGGTCACACCCTCGTCCGTGCCCTCCCACTCGTCTACGCCGTCTGGTTCCTGCTCGATCGACACACCCCAAACGAAGGGGGTCGCAGGTGATGTAACACACAATTTTAATATAAGTATATTGAAATTTTGATAAAAATGCGAATAAATTTTATGTCAATTTATGCGTGACAGTGTAAGGTTAAGAAATGATTTGGTAACTTTTGACCTCCCATCCCCTTAGTATTTCGATCCTCACTGACCCCCTCACAATTTAATAACATTTTTGAAATCTATAATAATTTTGATAAAGAGTATGCAAATTGTTAAAAATATGAAGAAATTGTGTCACTTTCTTTATAAATGTGTGAAGGTGAGAGGTCAACAGGGTTGACCTCATAACCTTTGACCTTGTCCGAGTAATGAATTTTTTCTCCCACAGGTGCGACTGGGTCCGTCACTGGCGTCTCTGGACCTGGTATTGTGACTACTTTCCGATCAAACTGGTGAAAACGGGGGACCTCCCGCCCCACAAGAACTACATTTTTTGCTCCCACCCTCACGGAATTCTTTGCTCTGCCGCTTTCGGAAACTTTGCGACGGAAGGAACCTCATTTTCAGAAAATTTTCCCGGTATCACGCCTCACCTTTTGACACTCGAAGGCCACTACTCCTTCCCACTTTACAGAGAATACCTCATGTCGTCAGGTGCGTGAAAGTGGTGGTGAAAGAGAAAGAGGGGCCGTGCAAAAAGGATTGGCCCATTGAAATTCACGACCAAAATTGGCACATTTTTCTGCAGAATAGAAGTGCAAAATTCTGGGCATTCTCATTTGAATAATCGGATTCTGCAGAAAAATGTGCCAATTTTGTTGAGTCTCATCTGCAGAACATGAGATTCTGCAATTTGTCCTTTCTGCGGAGCCCCGTGATTACTTTGGGTTTTAATATGTCATGAATTAATCCATTTTCAGGTGCCTGTTCAGCCTCGAAACGAAGTCTTAATTACTTGTTAAGTCGTCCTGGAGGGGGCCACGCGGCGGGTAGGTTCTTTCTTCCATGAATCTTTGATCATTTCCTTATGACGAGGTGCGGTTGGGAGCTCAGCGTCTTCTCCTTTGCCAAAAAGCAGCAGTATCAATTTCCCCGCTTGCTCAGTTTTCTACATTAAATGCATTTTACCTAGATTTTTCATTCAGGTTATTCATTATGAGTTCGCATCTTTAGCAAGGTTAGCAAATGACAAGGTTACAAAAAAAATTTAATTTGTAAATTCATTTTGCGATTCACAAACTTGCGAACTTGCTCTCCAAGACTAGTGTTCAGTTCGCAAAATTGTGTTCAAACTTATGGTGCGATGCGAACATGCGAAATCGCAATGAATACACTCATTTATACAATTTGTCACACAATTTTTCAAAAATTTCTTGAAGACGGAATTTAAAAAAATTGTGATATTTATTAAGTGTTCTGTTCTGTAAGAACATGTCGATTTCCACTACAAATCCTCCTATTCTTATGAAAAACCGACTAAAAGGCTTGATTCTCGTAGCACCCTGGTTCCCCCTTCCTTCTTGTTACCTTACCTCTTCATGCCAATTAGTCAAAGCTAATTCTGTGCCGGCATGTTTCTCCAAAGGGCATAAACCTGCCCACACGTCCAACTTTTTCCTTCACGACAAAAGTTGGGAGATATTAGGAGTAATAATTCATGCCTCGTGTGTGTGTGCTCCGCTCCCTCGCCTCAACCGAAACTTAATAATTTCGCCATTTATGAGAAAACCATCAATTTGACGAGGTTATCTTCTTTTTAGTGCTCGTCGTGGGAGGAGCCCCAGAATCGCTCGAGTCTCGCCCAGGCTCTTACATCCTCAAGCTCAAGGATCGCAAAGGTTTCATCAAGACGGCGCTTCGCCATGGGTACGTATGTAGACATGTCACGTGGACAAGTTCATTAAGCGCGGGTTTTACAGGGTTCGACTTGGGTTCAAAATCTGATCAATTAATTGGACTAAGTATGCATGAAAATTTTGTAAAAAGTGTAAAAATTTCCAATTTATTGGATACACTTTTGTTCAATTTGTTATATATATTTTTTAATTTTTAGATTATACAATTATTTGATAATTTTTTTAACGTTAAAGAACACGATTCAATTACTACGATTTTTGATGTTTACATCGGCTTCTAAAAATTCCAGTTGATTGGGTATTTTTTTTAAAAATTGGTTATGCTTAAACCAGTTTTTTCGTTTGTCTCTACAATTTTAAAACAATTTTTAGATAAATTTTTTATAATAATTGTGAAAAATAATTTTCCAAATATTTTTTAATGTTAAATAGCATGTAAAATCTTCCTTTTTCATAAAAAACAGGGTTTCTTTTTAATTATGTTGTAAAATTTGTTATGCAATTTTTAGGGAATTTTTTAAGATCAGTCTTCTATAAAAATTGTGAAAGATAATTTCCAAATAATATTTTTTATAGTCTTAAATAGCACGTAAAACCGTCCCTTTATTCATAAAAAACAGGATCTCGTTACTTAAATCCACTTTTAGTGCCGGGGAGTAAAAGACGTACATAATTAATGAATGGTCCTTTCTACACCCGATACATCCGTGAAAGTATAAATGTGGGGTACGTGGGGTAATAAAATGGGGAAAGTTTCAGCAATTTTCGACGTGCTGGAGAAAGTGAGTGAGTGTTAGGTAAATGGACCGTAATCTAATTTTTTCTTTACTTTTCCAGAGCATCACTCGTGCCGATATTCTCATTCGGAGAAATTGAAATCTACACCCAAGTCCATTTTCCCACTGGATCCAAGAGAAAGCGGATCCAGTCCAGGTTGCAGCGCGTCCTGGGACTCGCGCCGTGTCTCTTCAATGGACGCGGTATCTTCCAGGTCAGTCATTTTTGTCACGACGGGGTGGGAAAAAGTGGGTTTTACCGTGAGAAAAATGGGAGAAAGTGGGTGATCAGCTCGTAACAAGAACGGCTCGCTCAAAATGAGGTGAAGGAATATGGTAAAAGTTTTACCATAAAACTACACCTTTTCCCTTTTCTGACATATTTTGAACGGTGGTAAAAAGTTGTAATACTTTGGAAAATGTGAAAAAGTGGGTTTTACAGTGGTAAAAATGGGAAACACTAGGTGTAATAAGAAGGGTTCATTCGAAACATGGTAAAACTGCACTTTTCATGTTAACATTTTTAATTGTGGTAAAAATGGGAAAATCACACTTTTGCCCAATTTTCACATTTTCAAAATTTCTCAACTATTTGGTTGGGTGGTAAAAAAATGGGGTAATGTAAGTTTTTCCCAATCGTAACTTTGTAACGATTCGTGACACGCTTTCTGTGAGGCCCGTGGTACATAATAAATCTCACATTTTAATATCCTCTCTCACTCTTTCAGTACTCGTTTGGCATCATTCCACAAAGACGGCCTTTAACGACTGTGGGTAAGTGGTGATCAATTAATGTTGCTATGCAAATTCCACCATTTTTTAAAGGTTTCCAATCTATTGGACACAATTTATTGCAAAGTTCCAAGTACTTTTTAAAAATTATTATAATATTTCCAAATTCTATTACAAAATTTAGTAAAGTTTTCAACCTCAGAAAAATCTTCCCAGTTTTTTTTGTTACAAAATTTGACAATTCTTTGACAAAAATCATCACAGTATTTTAAAATTCTTTCATACAAATTATTCCAAAATTTCCAAATTTTTTAATAAAATTTATTTCAATATTTAAAAATTCTTTGATAACAACTGTTACAAAAATTTCAGTTTTTTATGCAAAACTCATTACAAAATTCCCAACTTGTTTAATAAACTTTATCGAACGCAAAAATTATCAAATTTGCTTCTTCTGTCCATTAAATTTCCAATATTTTCCCCTTTTTTAGTGGGAGAGCCGATCGACGTGCCGAAAACGGCGGATCCCACATCCGCCGACATCGATGCCCTCCACGCCAAATATGTCGCCAGTCTACAAAAACTCTTCTACACTTATCGCGACCTCTACGCCACACCTGAGACTGAACTGATCATCATTTAATTAAAAACGTAGTTGTTACACATATTAGTTTTTTAATAGCTGTAGCCTATTATTTTTGCAAGTTGTTTTATTTTTCATGAAAATTTGAGGGGTTTCAAAAAATGTGTGACACTCACTTTCTTCGATATATGTATGTAGATTTACGATTTTGTCCAACAAAACCGTCGGAATAAATGATGCAACCGCTTTGAGAAAAGTTTTCTTATCACTGAACCCAGAATTATGTGTCTAGTGCGTCGTGCGTGAAGGATGTCAACAATTTATTTCTATATTTAGCTTAAATTCGGCATCATTATTTTCTTACCATGATTTGAAATCACTGTATCGAGTTTTGCAGTAACCGACAAAAGCTGGATGCATATTATAATTTTGTTTGACAAAATCCTGCCCAAAATTTTTGTTTTATTCTGCAGAACGGTATATGCATAATTCTGCGCATAGTTTTCTGCACAAATTGCTCTTCATAAAGTTTTTTTGCCGTAAATTTACCCGAATTCCTACACGAAAGCTAAAATTTTTAATCAAGCATTCAACCCCTTTATTAAGCTCACATCCCTTCTGTACGTCCCCCTTGACTTGAAAGTCTTCTTTTTTACTACTTTGAGCTCGCAAAAATCAAGATCAAGATCGAGAGCAACGAGACCCGGAGAAAGCTAATAAAAAAACCGAGAAAAAAGCCAGAAAAAGTTTTCTCTCCAGAAAAAAAAATTGCGGAAAGATTTAATTCGCCATTTGATATTTACCCATATTTATTTTGCATAAGTATGTGTTTGCCCAACTGTTGTCCATGATCACGATGATGATGATGATGATGATGAGATTGTGTAATAGGACGGGTGGAGAGGGAGTCGTTTCGCTTGGTTGGGAAGTGGGTGAGGTCATGGTGATCAAGTTTGAGTTGAGGCAAAGTTGGGCCCTTGGGAGGCCTCTAACTAACCTAAAAGTGCTCCACTCTTAGGACGACGACGTATTGTTGAAGAGGGCCAGTTTCACTGGAGAAGTTTAATGGGCTGTGCAACAGGGATGTGGTGACTCCTTTTTTTCTAAGTGGGAGGACAGATCGGTGGAATTATCTCGTATGAAAATTTGAACGCCTTTCCTGCCGAAAATTTGTCGGATTTTGTGCAGAAAAATTATTTGCAGAACGATTTGTGCAGAAAAGTATTAATATCCATCAAGCTTTTGTCCATTACTGCAGAATTCGCCACAGTGATTTCTATTTGGGAAGCACGTGGTTCAAAGTAAGTCATTCGCATCAACCTTGGCATATCTCTGAAATTGAACATAGCAACATAACTTACGAAGTTTGCAAAATTTGTGAAATTTTGCAACAGTTTTGCTTGAAAGCTATGAATATTTTGCAAACGTACCCAGTGATTAGGTATGTTTTTATTTCCCAAACTTATCCTCATACTTAAAAATAAGCGAGCGCAGTCTCGCTGTTAAGTTAAAAATGGAAGTGACATTCATCCTGCCCGACCCTTTGACTCGATGGGAAAGTTATCTGTGCAGGTTTGGGACTCGTTTCTCTCCGCATAATGCCCAATTATGCAACAGAACGACGATACGATGGACGAGGACGCTATTTATTTTACTCTTCTCCAAATAATGGCTAAAATAAAACCACGACGACCACACAATTAAATTTTTTACTCTGGAGGTCACTCTCAACGAGCTAACGTAATAAATCGGCAATTTATTTTTGCAATTATTTTTGCACTCTTACACATATAAAGAACAAAGAAAGGGAATGACATGTGGAAGAATTTTTAAGAAACGATTGTACGATTTTGTTTGGAAATTTATCAAATTTGTTTTGCACGTTATAACTTAGCATGTAAATTTGGCGAGAAATTTTAGAAAATAATTCTCCCTTTTTGTATCGCAATTTTAACTTTCCACATGTCACGTGTATTTGTAATTTTTTTTACAATTATTTTTGCACATTAGTAAAAGAAATTAGTACTGAATTTTTGTATCGCAATGTATTTTGCATAGGTAGATTCTAAATTTGCTACACGGGTCCCGTGTTTCAATATTATTCGCAAAAACGACAAGTGAAATAGTCAAATTAAGGACTTTCTACTCTCTGAATTGGAAAATTGGTACTAAAATTTTGCAAAAATTGTATTAGGAAATAATTTCTCTGTGTGTATCTCAATTTTGAAGACGTACACGTTTTTATTGGGGGCCGTGCATAACAGAGTTTACGCAACCCATGCATTCTGCACGGTCGCAAAAAGAAGGACAAGTAAACTGATTTCTTTATCAATTTAGGGACTTCTTCGTCCCTCGATTGGGACGTCATCTTCTAAACTGTCCAATTTAAAGGAGGACATTTGTTCTCAAGCATGATTCGTCACCAGAGGACGGATATGTATTTACGAAAAAGAGATGCAATTCGTATTTAACATTTAGTAAAGAAAACGCCAAAATATTTGCGAAAAATGTACGAAAAAAGATCAAAATTACGGAAAAATTTGTATCTTTAGAATATTCATAATTCTCTGAATTTTTTGTAATCGAATTTCTTCCAGCAAAAAAATATTTTCACTTCACATCGTCGAAATATTTACAAAATATATGCTTATTTAAAAAAAATATGTAAAGGATTTCCATATTTTTTAAGTAATAGCGTAAATATTTATGTCTGAAAACCTAGAAATAGTGAAAATATTTTGAAACTCTAGTAATCTATAAGAGTTAAAGAGCACGCGAACAAAGTTTGACCATCGGCCATCATCAAATGAAAAGATCGAAAATGCATATATATCCGCCCTCTGAAATTTGTTACACAATGCGAAGGAGAAAGTTGATGGGGACGAATTTCTCGTCTCTCCTCCGCTGGGAGATGAATTGTTTGTTTCAAATCAATTTCACGGCTCTCGGCCAAACCACTTTCTCCACAAGGATGTACTACAAGAAGACACAAAACGAGACGATGGCCTCTCTATATACCTTTGTATTGGAGGGGGGGAGGATAGGGTTCAAAATTTGAATGTTTTTTTAAATAAATTTCATTTTGAACTTTACTAGCCTAAAATAACATTATTTTTTTAACTCGTACATTGTGACATGAGAAAAATACACTGCAAAGATTCACACAAATTTTTTTACAGAACAAACAAAATAGGAAAAATATTTACCCCAACAAGGGAAAACTGTTAAAATATCAGAAAATTTCGGTAAATGTAAAACAAATCACGGTTAAAATTAAATCCAAAAATACATTACTAACATTAAAAACTAAAAAATTCAAAAATTTTATGAAATAATTCCACCGATTACAGAAATTATGAGTGAAACAAGCTACCTAAGAAATACGGAACCCTGCGTTCCTGCAAAAGACAAGTCATGTCGATCTGTGTGTATGTATCTCTCGAAAAGTGGAATTTTATTCTTTCTTTATTTCGTTTACTTCCTGCCTCCTCTGCTCATCCTCTCGACTCGAGGGGACACCGATTTCCATGTGCGACACGAAACGCCAGCCATACATAGCTACGAGCGGAAAACTGTGTGCTTACAATCCACATGTCAGACATGTTTCTCACCGATCTTCTTAAAACCAGGGCTAAAAAAATCAAGTAATTTAACAGCAGTTAGTGTGGAACTTGACCACTTGTGCAGAATTCACGGATTTCAGAAGGGCTGAAGTTTGCAAAAACGCGCATTTTCAATATTAGAAAGCCGAGAGGTGAAAGTCGTGTAGCTTCGCATGGTAAAAATTTCCGTTTTTGCCAACTTAAAACCTTGTGAATTCTGCACAAGTGCCGGACTAACCTATTTTTTAATCCTGGTTTTAAAAAGATCCGTGAGAAACATGACTGACATGTGCCTTGTTAGTATTTCGATCCTTAAACATTAAAATTTAAAATTCATGACATAAGGCAAATCCATTATCAAATTCAAGGTATTAATGTGTACATCATTTCTACATCAAAAAATTTAACTTTTACACTCAAAATTTCTCAGTAAAATGCAAAATGTGCTGTTTATGTACTTATGTTATATTTTTGGTCCTGGTTTTAAGGCGATCCGTGACAAACATGTCTGACATGTGGATTGTTCGTATGAAAAAGAATTGTCCTTCGAATCGATCTTGATGAATGTTTAATGTGAATCGTAACGTCCACTTCACATGCATGGACGGATGGCTGGGAACTGTTGCATACACATGGACGTCCTAATGGATCTGGCCACGTCAGAAATTTGGCAGGAAGGTGCACGTAACCAAATTGCACTCAAAAAAACCCGATCCCGTCGGCTTCCTCCTTAAGCAAGAAAAACTTTGTGTGTGCAAACATTCGGAGGAGGAGATGGGCAAAGAAAATCCCGGTCTGGCTACTGTCTCTCTGGAGGAGGAGGAGGGGTGTCACTGAGTTGCGATGACGGTGTGAAGAGTAAAATTTGGTGAGTTATAATACTTAATTTAGTTTAAGTAGATTGAGCTAAAATCCAAGTTAATACTCAAGTTATTACTCAACTAAACTCAGACTCGAGCAAATTCTCAATTCAAATTCGAAGATGATTCTTAACTCAAATGTAAGTTCTATTATCAACTCAACACAAATTCGAGGTAATACTCAACTGAAACTTGAGTTAGTACTCAACTCAAACTAAGATTACTACTAAACTCAGACTCAAGGGAATACTCAACTCAACTTGAACTACATAATATCCAACTAAAACTCAAGTTAATGTTAAACTCAAATTACTACGCAACTAAAGCTCAAGTTAGTACTCAACTTACATCTTAAGCTAATACTCAACCCAAACAAAATTTAATACTCAACTCAACCTAGAGCTAATCACACTGAAAAAAATCTCAAATAAATACCGAACTATGTACACAAATACAAATTTTGTAAAATTCAACCAACTCATTCTTGACCCGAGTCCAGCTCAACTTTGTGGGCACCCCTGTCAAAGTTTTTTTTTAACCGTGAGATACGTTTCCCTATTAGTCTGAGTGACCAGTGATCCAATCAATATGCAATTTCACTCCGTGTCGCGTTCTGTTCTTTGTCAAAGCAAACATGGTTTCCCACTTGGTAAACATTCCCAGCCTGCCATCCTTCGTGTCAGGGAGGCATCGAGTGGAGGGACAAGTCCTCTTCGGCCTGTCCGCTCCTATATGGCCATGCATAATTCAGCGTCACACCAAAACCTCCTCCTCCCATGATCCCACAATTACCTGTCTACTTTCCGACAGGATAATGT